GGGGCTGACTCTCAGTAAGTGGTGATGAACCTGATGGTGTTGGTGACTTTGCACAAAAGAGAAAGGCACAGCCAAGGGTGTTTTCAGCTTTGTCATTATCACCTGATATTGTCCCTTTAACAGTTGGGGCAACTCTACTTCTAGATGCACGGCCAGTGACTCTTATTGATTTGAGTGGCTGTCCAGAGCCAGACTAATTGGGCCCAGAGATTGCAACAATGATTCAGCAGGAAGGGGTGAACTGACAAGGCAGAGTCTATCTGTCTGCTGGCGGGCTGGCTTGCAGCAGTGTTTGCTGCCCACAACAGCAAGGAGCTTAGCAGGCCGGGTCTCACTGCCATTCTCACTGTTTGAGAACAGGGTAGGATTCAGGTGACCTGTGAGCCAGTGGTAAGACCATAATTTCCAGGTCCCAGTAGCACTACCCTGTATTACTCCCTGTTATCTCTTTAGCTTCTGAAATTGACGCTGAACACCTCTTGGCTCTATCACCCCCCAAATCATCTAACTCATGGCCAGGCTCCCTGCCCTACAGGCACTATCCACCCCCTGTGACAGTTACATGTTTTATTTGTTTTTTAAACAGCATTTTCAGTGCATGCTGTCTGTCATCTTGTTTCTTTTCTGAATATGTTGATTGAACATGGGTGGCTAGGTAATGTTTGTGTTGGCACAGAATCCAACAGCTGATTTTATTTAAAAAAAAATACATTTTAAAAAGCCACAGAGATGTAGATCATCCCATGGAAACTTCCTGTCACCCTGTAATTCTGTTTTCTAAAAAGTGTGCACTTTAATAACTTATCAGAACAAAGATAATCCCCATGAATGGTAAGCTGTTTACATCACTCTGAATTGATTTTCGATCCTTGTCGAACATCCTTTTTTACCGGTTCGGATGTGCGCAGGCGTCCTGTTTAGTGTGCTGTTTTCCCGTAGAACATTATTTCTTTTATAATGTATAATAACTTGATAACAGTAACTTGAATTTCAGTTGCATTTTACAGTTTACAAAGCTCTTTTTATGCCTTATCTGAAGTTTCCTATTGTATTGTCCTGTGTTGTATTGCCTGAGACAGGACTGTATAAAGAAAGAAGAAAAACAAACAAACAAACAAACAAAAAAGCGTCCCAAGTCCTGCATTTGAAATTACAAGCTATGTGACCTTGAGAAATGCCTTAACCTCCTGCATCTGGTTTCCTTCTCTGTGAAATGGGTAAGAAGAGGAAGAAATGAGAGTATGTGACTAAAGTGCCTCATAGCACAGTGCTGGTGCCTGAATAATGATAATTCCCATTTCTTTTTTGCTATTGTAAACAGCAATCACTAATTTTCAGACTTTTATGTGACTCTGAATTTTTCCATTATGTTTCTGTATGGCCCCAAATTTATTTTTCCTCCTGTAAGCCAATCACCCTATAGGAAAGTGATTTCATTATTCTACCTGGAAGGAAGTATTAATTGCTGAATATACTTTGATTGAAGCTCCAAATCAAGTAGAAAATTCTCAGGCATTTCAAAGTGGTGGTTCTCCCAAATTCAGAGGTAATCCCTTTCTTCACCAACATCTCAAGAGGCAGAAAAATTTAGTCCGTTTGAGTAATGGACTTGTGGACATGTAATTATTTCTGGTGAGAGGACAACTTTTTAGAATGTTCATTTGTTCATTCACTCATTCGTTCACGTGAGTATTCAGTAAACATCTGCTGAGTATTGGGCACGTGGTAGGCCCTGGTGAAAACACTGGCTGTTGGAAGAATTTTATGGAGGAGATACATTTTGGGAGAAAAATTGAAAAGTCAAATTGATAACAACACCTGTTTTATTTTAGTTGATTGCATCTGTTGTCAAAAAGAAAACCTTAAATGAATCTACTTAGGGCAGGCTCTTAAGAAGGGAATTGAATGAAAACAGAAGGTGAAACTGAGGAGTTTTATTTTGTCTTCCCAAGCCAAGAAAAGTCTAAAATAGCAGCAGCCCAAACCATTTTAGATTTGGACCAGATGACTCTTAACCTGACCCCCATCCCCTCCCCCTTGACGTTTAAGGGGTTGATAAACCCCCTGAATTATGTACAAAATTATGGAAGTACATGTATTTTTTTAGCTTCGTAGCTGGCACCAAATTTTCAAATTAGTGACTTCCTATAAAGAGGATGTGTCTTGTAAAGCTAAGAACCACTGAATTCATACAAACAGACCCTCTCATTTTAAAGTAACCAAGGGAGTGATTCACCAACCACCTACAAAATGATTTTGAAAGCAGTTTTATGAGTATTGCAAAGGTTTCTGAGTTGTGAATTAGTTTACTAACTAGTTACTAGCAATTAATATCAACCAATAAAATCTTTAACTGCTTTTATGATTAATGACATTGAGTATTAATAATAACCAAAGTTATATAGCAATGACTAATCATGTAATTGATTAGTAACAGAAAAGTCTTTTAAGTGCCTTTCAGTGCTGTTTGGATATTCATGATAGTTAAAAATTTCACAAATAACAGTGACCATGCAATAAATGATGAGGGTCTATTGTGTGGCCAGAAGCCTCATCACCTGGTATAGACCCCACTGGGCTGCATGTAGGCCTCTGTCTATACCTAAACGTCTGGTCCATAGTCATTACCTAGAAGGTAATCAGTGCATTTTGAGGGAACAAATAAGTGAGACTCATTGTGGCTCTTTTCCTTGTCCCTTCTGGGTGAGAAACTCCAGAATTTAGGAGCCCCAAGATAGGAAGTCAGGTGGCTCAGATGACAGGTGTGCCCTTGGCCTGGGCCAGGGCAGGTGCTTCTGTTTCCTGTGCGCCAGCTCTGCCTCCCCTTTGGCGGCAGCTGAGGGCCATCTGAGGGCACAGTGATGAGATGCGATGCCTGGAGCTGCTGTGCCCAGATATCTCAGTCTAACATGCAGTTCTGGCCTTGCTGTTGCCACCTCTCCCTTCTTGTTCCGTGTGACACAAACAGAAACAAAACATAAACTAAATCGATTATCATAAGGTCACAGGTCTAGCCTATGAAAGATAAGACAAGACTTAAAAGAAATTAGACTGCAGCCGAATGTAATTAAAAAGGGTTTTGAGAGAAATTGAGTATAATAACCCTGTGTGATGATTCTTTTAGAATGGCGTCTGGTACATTGCCTAGGACGTAGGATTTAAAAACAAAGCTGTAAATGCCTTGTAGTTAATGGCCCTGCTTTAGATTTATTTCCTTGTGCCGCACGTGCCTAACACAGTGCTGGGCATAATGTCCTAGACCAAGGCAAGCAGAGGCATGAGACAAGGCTCATAGCCAGGGCTCAGTAGGTCCTTCTGGATGAACTGGGTGATGTCTTGGTCAGCTTGAGCTGCTGTAAAAAATATCATAGACAGGGTGGCTTAAACACAGACATTTATTTCTCACAGTTCTGGAGACCGGGAAGTCCAAGGTCAAGATGCTGGTTGATTCAGTTCCTGTTGAGGGCCTCTTCCTAGCTTGTAGACAGATAGCTGCCTTTCCACTGTGTCCTCACCTGGTGGAGAGGGAGTGAGCTCTGGTCTCTCTCTTCTTATAATAACACACATCTTATCACAGGGGCCCCAACTTCATGAAATCTTCTAGACCCAATTAATTCTCAAAGGCCCCATCTCCAAACACCATCACACTCGGGTTAGGGCTTAACTTATAAATTTGTGGGGGGACACAAGCATTTAGTCCATAACTGATGGGGAAGTTCTTTTAGTACCAATAGGCCCATGGTTATTTAGTTCTTGCTTATTGTTCTTCTGCTCTTTTCAAGGGCGGAGATGGATGAGAGAACTTGGACCATAATCTATACCAGGAATTACAGGAGGGATTGGTTAGTGGTTCTCCCCAGGCCTGAGTTTAAACACTGGCAGGAGGGCTTATAGGAGAATAGGAGAGTTGCCTTCTGCGTTTTCCCCCGGGCAATGCTAGAACATCTCCCACGTCCCTGGCGTCATCCTTGCTCACCCACTACAGAGCCACCATCGGTGAACTTGTGAGACTGTCTCAGATCCAGAGCTCCAGGGGTGGGGTAGCTTCACGATGGAGTCCCTGCCCATGGAGGGGCTGTAGTGTGCTCTGCAGGTGTCTCTGGGATATTGTTCTCTGCCAGTGATATTTATTTCACATCATTAAACTGACAACTGAAATGCCAGATGAGTCTTCTAAAACCCCCTCTTTAATCATGTCCTGTCTCAAGAATGCACAGTGGGCCCAAATTGCCAAAAATCTAGGCTTTTCATCCAAGTGGTCAAATCCCTTATCTCATACTCCTTTCGTCTTTTCCAGCCTTCTTTTCTTATTCCAATTCAATTTTTTATCATGAAATATTTTATTTTTTATTTATTTTTAATTTGTTTTTACATGTTTTTTATTGTATCATGAAATATTTTAGATGCACAAAAAACATAGAAAACAACATTATAAGTGCTCAGGTACCAACCACTCAGCTTAAGAAATAAACAAAATACAGTTACAGTCACTGCCCCTCCTGGCCCTTTGCAAACAGGACCATGAGGCAGCAAAGGCAGAAGTTCAGTGATGTGCGTAAGAGCAAGGGTTTGGGGGCTGGTTAGACCCAAGTGAAATTCTGACTCTGTGCTTCCTTGCTGGGCAAATTCAGGAAAATCATATAAGCTCTCAGAGCCTTAACTTCCTCATCTGTTAAGTGGGATGATAAGAGTTTGTACCTCCCAGAGTCACTGTGAAGACTAAATGGAGTGACAAGGTAAGTCAAGTGCTTAATCAGTGCAGGGAAAGTGGGGAGTGCTCAGGAGACGGCACTGGTTGGTGCTCCTGGTGGCTGCTGGGCTTTTATCATCTTGGATTTGGACTACAGAGATGAGCCTCAAGGGAGCCGTTACCCCACTCACCCTTACTTCAGGGGAGGACCTGGAATTTGGCAACGCCAAGACCAGGGCAGGAGAGCAGGGAATGTACCTCCCTTGGTAGGTGCTGTGGACCAACTGATGGGGTGCTTGGTGGGTTTTAGGTGCTCGTCCTGGCTGTGAAGCAGCTGTTTCCAGAGTTTGAGTTCATGTGGCTGGTGGATGAAGCCAAGAAGAACCTGCCTTTGGAGCTGGATTTCCTCAATGAGGGGAGGAACGCTGAGAAAGTGGCCCAAATGCTCAAGCACTTTGACTTCTTAAAGGTAGGAGGGGCAGGGCCACGGGAGCCTGGTGGTCAGACGGAAGAGTGCGGGGGAGGACTGGTCCCGCCCCGTGCATCCCCACCTTGTAGGACATGAGTGGAGACATCTCCTTCCTGAGTCTTCTCTCTGAGGATGACTGATTTGTCCTTGGTGATGCACATGAAAGCCCTTGAAGGCAAAGTTACAAATTATCAAAGGGGATGGTTGACCTGTCAAACAAATAGCTGTTTATTGAGTGATCTACAATTGCAAGACCCTGAGCACTTTTGAGGGACTGTAGGTCGTGGTCCCTGTGGTCTGTGAACCGTGGGATGATGACATTGATGACAATGATGATGATGATAATGATGATGACTATAGCTAATGCTGCTGTACTCTGGCACAGTTCCTAACACTTTATGTATATTATACTGGCTCATTGAATATACAGGTATGCTTTCACAGAACATATGTGTCCTGGAGTCTCCACAGTATGCAAAATCACACGACAGAAACCACAGGGTTTATGGGGAAGATGAGGTTAGGCTTACAACACTCAGAAATGTCCCCAGTGACCCAGAAAATAAAATCGGATAGGAACCTGATAAAATGGTAGCAGCAGCTTTACACATGTTAAGTGGCTAAGAAATACACCAGAGTGCAGTACACCTGGCACTTTCCTTGACACGTGCTTGTGGAAGTGGGCAGCAGAAGAGTGGCTGTTATTGTGAAGAGGTGGGTGAGGGTCATCTGAAATTGGACAGAAACGTGTGACACCAGATGTGGGTGGGCGTGACCCATGACAGACGTGGCGATGTTTGAGGGGTGTGTGCTTTGTGTATTCCTGTGTGGGTCAGCTAGATGCAGTTTTCTGTGTTCCCAAAGATTCTTGCGGATGAAACTGCACATAAGCAAATGGAAAATTTGTGTTGTGATCAAATTGTTCCCTAACTTATCAGTCACATTGGAGCAGATTTGTGTTCTCAAGTATTTAGCAGAACTGCCCTGGGATAGAAGACACTTACTGTGGGAAACAACATCAAATGACACAAAGTCCCAGCTCAGTGAGAGGTCCTGCTGGTACGGGCTCCAAGGATTCAGAAGAAGCAGCTCCCCTGGGGAGCAGGGCAGGGAGGGCTCTGCTGAGGAGTTGGCACTGGAGCTGGTCTTTGAGCCTGGCCTGATGTTCCCCGTGGGGCCCATGGAGGTTGGAATGAGAGAGATACAGGTCCACACTGCTGCTTTTCCAACACATTTTGTCCTTGGTGGGGCTTGGACCCATTTACCAGGGGTACCATTTTATCGCAGCAGTGCAGGGGTTGGACATCTCTGGCAGTCTACAAAGGGAGCTTGGCTTTTAACTCTTGGAAGAGATCAGCCCTTTGCTCTTCACTGATGAGGCCGGGAGAATGCAGGAGGGGGAGGCACAGGGCTTCGGGTACTAGTTCTAGAGCAAATAGTCAAGTGAAGCTCTTCTTGGGGAAGGTGTCTCAGCATGTGGGCTGCAGTCTCTTGCTCTGGACACTGAAGCCACAGTGTCCACGTGGCTTCTGGGGACCTCATGAGAAATGGAGGCAGCATTTATACTGCTGCTACCAGATGATTAACAGAGATGGGGAGACTGAGGGTATGTCTACACCAGCCGCCTAGGAATCCTAAAGCCTGGTTCATGGGAGGAAGACCCACAACTGAGGTGACCAGTGTGGTGTCTTGCTACACTGATTTGGTGGAAGGTATAGCCTCTGGCGAAGTTCAGCTCTTGGAGTGTTGGGAGTCAGGTCTGTCGAGATGCCCCCCAAATGGCTTTTCCTTATGCAGCCCTAGGGAGGAAATGCCATTATTCATGCTGATCCTCTTGTGTGTGCAGATCCAGATGTGCAGACTAAATCTGGTAACATTGCCCCAGCCTTGAGGTTCAAACCACTACTTCAATGAAAACTTGGCTTTCTCACACAAGTAGTAATATTAACTAATTAGCATAATACCATAGGGTCTAAACTATGCTTCCACTTACATTTCCCTTCTCTTTCACTCCTTTATTCCACACTTATTGAGCATTTCCTGAGCCTGTTGCTGTGCCAGAGTCTGGGAGGTGGGTGGTACCTAGATGAGTCAGAGCTGGTTGGCTCCCGCCCGAGGAGACTCCGCATTTAGTGGGGGATGAGCATACAGTGTGTTGTTATAGCACATGTTGGTTAGCTCTATGACAGAGACTGATCTACGTTTCTGTGGAGGAAGTACTTAATTCCACCAGGATAAGGAGCTCAAAGGAGGCTTCCAAGAGTGTCGATTGTGCAAAGGGATAGACAATATTTACTATTTCTTCTGCGGCTCTGAACACTATGCAAATACCATGACACTGAAGCCTTCCAACAACCCTTGTCCCATTTTACAGATGACAGTTTTAGAGGAAGGAAGCTAGGGTACAAAAAGGATTTTCTGACTTCAACTCTGGTGCTCGTCTAAGGTCATTCTGTTGCCTCTTACCCGGCAGGGGTGGTCCTCAGCACCAGAACTATGAACCAGACGAACAGAACCATTTCCTCCACTGTTCCCATGGAAACAGCAAAATCGTCTTCTGGCTGGGGCCAGCTAGCATCTGTCAGACCAAGACATGTAATAATAATAATAATAACAAATTTTTGAAATGAGGATGCCAAATGGGTAAATAATTAATGTAACGATTTGACCTGCTGCTTCTAAAACCCGCACACCATTCCTAAGAAAATGGTGGAATTAAGGCTCCTGAGTAATTAATTTTTGCCTAAACACATAACAAGTGGGAAGCAAATTTTGCACTGCGAACCCAGTTCAGCTCTTAAAACAGGAGATAGATTGCTTTTGCACACTGGCACCCCATCACAACATCTGTGCGTAATTAAGCCTCAGCAAAGAGTTTACCTCTCAGTGTGTGAGGCATCTTCCAGTGGGGTTTAATAACCTCAGCCCTATGCTGTAAATCTCCAAGCCTCAGACAAGCACTGAATGCAAATGTGGTGTCAGGGAGACTGGAAAAGGGCGAGGTGGCAGCCAGGCTGAACGGTCAAGACCAGGGCATTTGTAGATTTGGCATCAGAGGTTGTGTGTGCTGTGGGGAGCAGACAGAACAAGCAGTCAGCTTTGTGATTGACCTTGGGGACAACTGGGACAAGATAGAGGGAGAAACCTTGTAAACACAGGGTTTGGGACTGGAAGAGATGAGAGTCTGTATAAATGGAGATGGGGCTTGGTGGGGGGTTGGCTCTTGAGCAAGGCCACTCCAGGGCTTTTTAGTGCTAGAAAAGAGGCCTGGATCTCTCCAGAAATTGTGGGCAAACCCTGAGAGGATGTACATGCTTTTGGTGAAATGCCATTAACTTCCTAAGAATCTCAAAGATTCAGAACCACTGATGTATAATAATTAATATTAACTTTTTAATATGCTTATGATGTGTTAGACACTTTATAAAGTACTGTACGTGTATTTGCCCTTTAATCCTTATACAGCCCACAAGGGAAAGATGTCCAGCCCCATGTCAGCATCAGGGAAGCTGAGACCCAGAGAGGTACAACCACTTGCCAAAGGTTGTGCAGCTTCCTGGTAAGAGGCAGAAGCAAACTCTGAATGGAGGCAGCATGGCCCCAAGCCTGCGTGTTAAACCACTGTGCTTTTCTGCCTTTGCGATAATTTATGGGCAGATCTGAGTTTTGCTGAACTGTCTGGAGCATTAACTCTCAGCCCTGGTCATGTGTCAGAACCACCTGTCACATTCCACATGGCTGTCAGGTGGCAGCTGTTTGCTTGTCCAGCAGGTGCAAAGTGTGTGCTGCTGTGTTGAGCACCAGGACTTCATACATGCTAGTAGGAAGCATGGAATGTTGCTTTCATTCTAATTGTCATCACTATTTTACAGGTGAGGAAATTGGCACTCAGAGAGGTTATGAAACTTAATCAAGTCACACAGCTTGGAGGTGGCAGGGCCGCGGCTCCCACCTGACAGTCTGACTCCACGTCTGTGCTCTACTCCACTGGGCTCTGGTGTTGGGAGGACTGTGGCCCTGGGTGATGGGCGCTGGCCCAGATAAGCCAGAACCTGCTTCCCTGGTGTGTTGACCAAGCACAGGAACAAAGAGGACCAAGGCCAGGGTCAAGGCCAGTTAATGAGGCTGAGGCCTGGGTTCTTGGCCTGGAACTTTTCATAATCTGTGCCCTCATTCTTGGAGTTAGGACTGACTCCAGTTTTGGTGGGCAGACGGAGCCTAGAGGAGTGTGGCCTCTGCTCTGTGGTGAGGAGGTAGACCCCAGACCTAGAGGCCCTGATGGCGAGGGTGTGAGCCTGCCTGTGGAGTCAGCAGGCACCCTGGCCATGAGCCTCCCAGGGTTTTTTTGTTTGTTTGTTTGGGGCCCGGGGCAGGATGGTTCTTATTGCCTGTAAACATTTTCTTTTTTATTTTCCCATCTTTGATGGAAGAAGCTGAGGATGGAATGGTCATGAAACATGGGTGTTGGAGTGAAGTGAATTAATTACACCTTATACCCCTAAACCCTCCTGCCCACATGGTGATTGAGGGGCAAGTCACTTGACCTGTGTCACCCTGTCAAGCTGAGTTTCTCTAACTGAGCAGGAAGCGCTTTTGCATTTTGCAGTTATTTCCATGTTACATCCAACCAGCAGCAATGGTAGCCCTCCCAGAGCTTCCACAACAAACCCTCTGTCTCCCAGGTTTGACATCTCTGCCATTTCAGAGCTAAGCATCTGAAGCAGGCACACATTCCGTTGTGAGCCTGGGACGGTTGCATTTGGAGGGAGCCCATGGAGAGGTGGAGGAGCGGGAAACCCAGCACACCGATGACCCAGACTAACAAGCCCGGAGAGCCTCCGGCTTTTGGTTCTGTTTGCATCTGTGCCTCTTTCAAGGCTGTTTTCCATGTTGCCCCAGGCAGGCACAGAGGCGAGTCTGACCTCATGTCTCCAGAGCCCCAGTCACCCACTGCCAGGCTTTGGTCCCAGACACACTGAGGAAAGAATGTAACCTCCTAATATGTCCCTTCCACTGGGAAGCGACATAGAACAGCAGCAAACTTGCACCATATATATATATATTTTTTAATTGGAGTACAGTCAATTACAATGTGTCAGTCTCTGGTGTACAGCACAATATCCCAGTCATGCATATACATTCATATATTTGTTTCCATATTTTTTCCATTAAAGGTTATTACAAGATACTGAACATAGTTCCCTGTGCTATACAAAAGAAACTTTAAAAAATCTATTTTTATATGTAGTACTAACATTTATAAATCTCCAACTCCCAAATTTACCTCCTGCCACCCCCTTTCCCCGGTAACCATAAGATTGTTTACTAAGTCTTGCACTCATACTTTTGAAGAGACTTTTTGAAAAATGCCACGTGAGAGTGAATTTTAAGTTCAAAGTAATAGAGTTCCAGATTTCTCTACTGGCCCAGATTTTCAAATGGCAAAAACCGCAGGAAAGGACTAAGCCAAAATGACACCGCGATTTCAGTTGAAGCCTTGTTCCAGGGAGCCCAGGGCCTCTGTGTGTACAGGGCCCCCTGTACCCCCAGAGCTCCTTACTGAGTTGGAAGAGGAACAATCTCCTTTCTAATGAGGGAAATTGAGGCATGGAAGAGTTGAGTGGCTGGACTCAGACAACAGTTGTTAGCAGAACTGGGAACAGGAAACAGGTTTCTTGGCTTGAGGGCCACTATCTTACTGCTAGTTGAGCTTTGGGGGTTGGGATGAGGGAAACCCTTCCTTATTCCCCAAAACACTTGAATGAGCTCTCCTTGCTTCTTTATTTGTAAGTGGAATAAGATCATTAAGTTGTTGAGGAATTATGGCATGCTGATAGCCCGATAATCCCTCCCTCCTGGCTATGGTGGGACTGACAGGTGTCACTCACATGGCAGCCTGGCAGTCCTTGGTGCAGCTCACTCTCTCGGCCATTCCTGAAGAAATTTGTTCTCTTTTTGGCTATTGTGTGTTCTTAGAATCAGAGGTGGTTGGAGAAGCATATTAGTTAGGAATGCAGTTAGGAATGCAGTTAGGAATGCAGGTAACTGGCAGTGCAATTCAGAGTGTCTTAAGCAAAAGGGATGTGTTTTCTTCACATAGCAAGAAAGCTTGCAGGAGTTACCTGCTGATGTTGTCTCAGTGATTTGACAGAATCAGGGTTGGCATCTGTGATTTTCTTAGACTTTTCCTCTTAGTTATAAGATAGCTGCTGCAGCTCCAGGTATCACATTCACTTTCAAGGTAGGAAGAAAGGGTAAGAAGAGATGGACTATCTACAAACGTCGCTTTTTCTCAAAAAAATAAAAACCTTTCTATAGCCCCTGGCAGACCTCCACTTATGTCTCGTAAGCTAGAACTGGGTCACATGGCCATACCTACTGCAAGGCAGGCAAGGAAAGCATTGAATTTTTCCTGTCTCTGGGGAAGAGAACTGGGAATAGGTGTTGGGTTAGGCTTCAGCACTGTCTGCCACAGGAGGCTTGTAGGAAGCAGGCATGAGAAAACTCATGACTTCTTCACCAAAAAATTTATCACCCAGTAAAAATTCATTTATTCCGTCATTCATACATACATAACGTATAATAACACCCATTGCACAGATATAGAAACTGAGACAGAGGGTTGTGATTCACATGAAGAGGCTGAAATAAGCCTGGTGAGAGAGGGAAATAGCTTTTAACACCAACTCTGACTCAGATACGAGAGGTTCCATGCATTTTCTCCTAAGTCTCAGTTTCAGTGTGGGCTCCTAATTGTGTCTGGAAGGCACTGAGGAGGGTCCTCAAACAAGAGGGGCCACTAAAGGAGGCTGGGGCCCTCCCTGAGGGAGGTGGAGCAGCCTGTCCTCCTCTCTTGGCCTGCCTTCTGCTTTCCCCATCCATCCCTGCTGGGGTCCTAGGAGGAGCGTGTGCTGATGTCTGGCTCATGTGCCTCTCTGCAGCCCTTGCCCCTGACTCCTGACATGCCCTTTCCTATGCCAGGTCCCCCGAATCTACTGGGAGCTGTCCACCAAGCGGGTCCTTCTGATGGAGTTTGTGGAAGGCGGGCAGGTCAACGACAGAGACTACATGGAGAGGAACCAGATTGACGTCAATGAGGTGAGGTGGAGAGTGCTGGCTGATGGCGAGGGACATGGGCTTTCTTGCTGCCCTGCAGATGCAGGTGTGACCAGGTGAGATCTCATGGCCTTGAAGTGAGGCCTGTTGTCTGAAGAATTATAAAATCTCTGAGCACGGAGCAGCATTCCAGGTCATCTAGGGCAGCCCTCTGCCCCATCTTCCAGAGCTGGGGTTGGCAGCACGCAGCCAGGTGCAGGCATGTGCTGAGCCCCTCTCTGGAGCTCCTGCCTGGACAGATGATGACCACCTGTCTTCTTGTACCATCTGAGCTCCATAGCACAGAGAAGCTGGAGAACAGTGGTGTGAAATCCATGGGACTTGATCCTCTGCCCTGTGGGGCCTAGACACCCCTCCTCCCTCTGCCTGCCCCCCCCCCCAGATCTCCAGGCATCAGCCAAAAGGGCACAGCTATAGCCAACTAGTAGCATAGAGCTAAAAAGGGGGGACTTCTGCCTCCCACCTGCCACACCATGGCCTCAGGGAAAGCCGGCCCATGGGCTGGGGCTTGTACCCGACTTTCTTCTAATTGGTAATCACAAGGTGCCACAGGTAGAGGTAGAGTTGTACTTTTTCAACAGCGTTCATCATTTTTTAGTCCCTAGTCTGTGCTAGGTGTGCAGGTTCAGAGGGGAACCAGACACAGTCCCCTCTGTTAACGAGTCCACAGCCTGGTGTTGGGGTCAGGCACACAACCTTATCCTTAACAGGCATCTCTCGGGGAGCATTGGGTATGAACAAGTGCCCCGGGAGCCTCAAGGAAGATGCATTCACTTCTGCCCAGGTCGGCTTCCCTAGCAGGATGAGTGGGGATTTGCCAGGCGTGTGTGTGTGTGTGTGTGTGTGTGTGTGTGTCAGAATGGAGGAGGTGGGGGCAGAGCTGGCACTGCCAGGAAGGGAGAAGGAGTGGTGAGTTTTTGCGGGGCTGCAGGCAGATGGTGTGGGGCCTTGGGTGTGGCCCCGAGGTACTGAGGAGTCACTGAAGGGTGTTGAGGAGTGCAGTGCTGTGACCCACCTGGCTGGTGGGAGGAAGGAATGAAAGGGACCAGACCCAATAGAAGTGAATGCTCTTTCCTACTCTCTCCAGGCAACACATGAAGAGGAGCCTATGGTCCCAGTGGTGGGATGGCCTAGATGAAAAAGTTGCACCTTGGCTTAGCAGATCAGCCAGGTGGCAGGAGAGTGTGCAGGTTGGAAGCCCAGGCCCCGAGTGCCTGTGTGGTCTCTGTCAATGGGGAGGATGATAGCCCTGCTTCTGAGATAGCTGTGAGGACCAGAAGAGTTAGTGCACAGCGGTGTTTAGCACAGTGCCTGGCATGTGCTTGGCCCTCCCAAATGGTAGCAAGACTGTTGTTCTCCCTCTTTTCTTTGGGCTCTGTCCTTTCCTCCCTCCTCCTTTATCTCTTTTTACCATTAATGTTTGCTGAAAGTCTGATTCCCTGTGCCAGGCCCTTTTCTCCACAGTAAACTTAGGAGGGAGGTCTTACTGTCTCCATTTTGCAGAAGAGGAGTCAGGGATTCAGAAAGGGGAGGTAACTTGCCCCAGGTCACCCAGCCAGTAGAGCTGGGATTGAAACCCAAGTCTCTGACTCCAATACTTCTCTTGGTTCATAAAAGGAGTGACTGCATCAGAAGGTGTGGAGTAGCTGCCAGAAGCATGGCTGGGAAAGGTTCAGCCACAGCTGGTCTTGGCCTCCTGTGGGCAGCTGTTGTCCCCGGACTTGGGGAACCCTTTAGGTGCTGCAGGGTATGTATGTAGGAGGCTGGATGGGCCTCCCTACTCCCTAAGCTGGTTCACCCCGGGCAGTTCTGCCATTACCCAAGCTGCCTATTGGGCTGTCCTGGAAGTGATCTGTGGCTTGGGGACACGGGGCAGGGGAGGATAAGAAAACTACTGCTCCAGTTCAACCCTCTGCTTTACTGACTTTGAAGCATGGAGACAGAGCGAGCAAATGCCTTTCCTGAGTAGCACAACTCAGGGCTTTTCACTCTGCTTCCTTCACTGTCAGCTTCTCGGGTGGGCCTGGGGAGGGCATCTGGGCAGAACTTCCTGCAGAGGAGGGAGGGGGAAGACCTGCTTGCCCACCTCCTCCGCTGTTGGTTGGGATGGGGGTGCATCCCTGAGGGATCCTTTGTCCACCGGGACCCTTGAGTACCAAGTTGTTGGCTCCAGTGAGGAGGGGAAGAGAGAGGAGGGTAGGGAAGGCAGGTTACCTCTTGTTTATCCTGGTCAGCCTTAAAGGGGACCAGGGTCTCTCTGCCTGCTGATCAGGAAGGATCCCAGGGGCCTCAGGTTACTGGCGTTTATGTACTGCCAGCGGCAGTGGGCTTTTCCTCCCAGCAGCGCCCCAGAATCCACTCATGGCTTTGGATCTGTTGAGCTGAGGGCTGTAATTGCGTTTAATCAGAGGCAGCTTTGATTTTCAAAGAGAAGTGCAAACAAAGATGTCCTCTGGTGTGGTTGCTTGCTTGTGGCTGAGTGAGGCACCTGGGAGGAGGCTGGAGGTGGCCTGGGGGAGCTGGGCTGGGTGGTGCCCTCTGAGGGCCTGGGTTCATCTGCTCCTGCTTCCACCCGTCTTCAAACAGCTTTATGGATAAGGCCAGCGTTCTGTGCAGAGCAGACCCTTGGTAGACATCCTGTGATTAGCGAATGAATAAATAGTCAGCCTCATGCCTTGGGTCAGCCTATATGAGGCAGAGCTGGGGTAGAGTGTTGGTTTTTGTTTTCTGTGGACATACAGAGTTGGTCAGGCTGATATGAGTGATTTGGGAAAACCAATAGCAATAGTTATTATAAGCAACTAATATGTACCAAGCATGTGACAACATAGAATCTCTATTCCTTATAGATGTCCTGCCAAGGATATGTCATTAATCACATTTATAGATGAGAAGGCTGAAGATCAGAGAGGTTAAACAACTTGCCCAACATCACACAGCTAGCAGGGGCAGAGTTGGGAGTCAAATCCAGATGTGCATGATTTCAAAGCCCTTGCTCCTCCACCTACTCCCTCTCCCTCCCAGAAATCTGCATGGGGCTGCAGTGGAACCTGGGGCCACCGGGTGACAGCCACACCAGTAACTCCTTTTGAAGGAGTCAGAATTCTGGCTGAGACGCTTTGCCCAGCTCCCAGGGCACCATCTGAATGCAGCCTTTCTCTCTCTTGCTTACATCAAGGGTTGTTTTATCCATTTCATACAAACGTTATTTCATTTTCTAGGAATGTTGTGAGGACTAGATACGAACTCTCATCTGAAAGACTTTTACTCACGTGGAGTGAATGACAAGGAGCAAAGATCTCACCCCAAATCCTGGTGGGTAGTGTAGTTCGTGGCATCTTGGCTGCTACAAGCTGGTGACTCAGGGAAGATGGGCCCCAGCAGAAAATGGCTCTAGAAGGAATTTCTCTCAAGGTGGGTGGGGATGGCTCCAGACCCCTCCAAACACTTGCTATTCATCCCCACTCCACTTTGAACAGGCCCTCTCACCCTACAGCATACCAGCCCAGCTGGGTCCAGCATGTGAGGACCTGAAGACCAGGCTAAGTAGCCAGATCTTAATAGACTTGGGTAAGGAAACACCAAGTTAGGAGGCAGGAGAGCTGAATTCAAACTCCATCTCTGCCAGTGGCCTTCTGTGTGACCTTGGACAAATCCCTGCTTCTGGGCCTTCATCTTCTTACTGAAGGCATTGGGATAGCTGGACTCTAAGGATCCATCCTGCTTGGATGCTTTACAGAACAGTGACTCTTGTCTTGCTGGGAGGTAAAACTTGAACTATCTATTTCAGAATCACTAAGGAAGCTTAACAGTGCAGATTCCTGGGCCCAACCCCAATCTTATCAGAATCTAGGTTGGGAAGGGTTGCAAGGGGTTATAAGAATGCCTATCAACAGATTCTCCAGGTGGCTGACACCCATTGAAATTCAGGAACCACCTGCCTCTAGGCCAGGGGATCCCTGGCTACCCAAGGTGAGCCCTCAGGCCTCACCTCTGCTGTTTGGCACCTCCAGGCAGGAGGCAGCCCTACCCAGTGTGCTCACAGGCCACGGAGCACGGAGCCTGGAGAGCTAGCAGCCTGCAGGGGCCCTCATTTATCTGTGCTCTGAGCTCAGAAGCAGCATATTACTGAGGTCCTGACCCGGTGATCATATTTGCCAGTCACTTTAAGAACTGGTGACAGTGACTGTCACTGATTTCATTAAAAATAAAGGTCGTGCAGGAGCGCGCTTTCCTGGGCTGGACGGTGCCTCCTCAAGCCACAGGACGGCTATTGATTGCAGGACCTTTATCGAAGGTTAATTGGATTTCAGTGAGTGTGTGTATAAGGCCCCACCTGGGCTGAGGCCCAATTGAATTTGTGTGAAATTAGTGAGAGAAAGGTGACAGAGGCAGGAGCTGGTGTTGGGTGAGACAGGGACTGGAGGCCTGGTGGGAACATCCAAAGTCTATATAGAATGGGGCTGAGTGCAGGGATGGGGGCCTTGCAAGAGATGCCTGCCTGTCTACCCCAGAGGCCCAGGAGCCTGCTAGGGATGTAGGGCCAGGGGCTCCCCAGTGGTCAGAATGTGGACTTAGGCCCAGTCCTCTGTCCTCAGACGGCCCTCTGGTGTGTGGCGTGGCCTGCAAAGCCTGACTTTTTACCTCCCAGAGAGTGCATCTCGTTTTCCATCAGGATCAGAAGGGGCACTGGAGGTTGAGCTCTTACTTTGGATCCTAAGCTTCTGTTTCAGAGGTGCCAGGGCCCCTCAGTGGCCAAGCCTTCCTGGGCTCCGAGACAGCAAACATCAGGTTCCCCCACTGTTGGCTTGGGGTGCCCTGTCGTCTAGCCGACTGAGCCATTTCTCAGTAGCAGTCTAGTCCCCCTGGCAAACGCAATCTTGCTGATCTCTTTCTGCCACTGTGGGCCCTCCTGCTCTCTGTTGCTGTGGGGTATTGGCCTTTTTGTTTCTTTTAGCATCATTTTAGTGGTGCTAGTGAGG